ATGTGGTGGAAATCCAAATGAGTCAGCTAAGAAGCACGTGAAGCCGTTGAAGCAGAATTGAGCATCGGATTGTTGAAGGAAATATTCCTTTTGCTGTGATCATATTTTTCTGTTTTGTAAATACTGGAAATTGGTTTTTATTTAATTTCAACAATAGAGCATTTGGGAATACAACTTCTAAGTCATAGATAAGCACCTGATGTAACTTGTAATTATTGAAGAACCAAAAACCCAATTTACATACTAAGTTTTCCAATTAATGTTCACCAACCGATGGAAAGACTAAAAATTTAAGAAGAATTATTTCCAAAACTTCCAATTAATATATACATTTATTCATGGAGATGTTTTCATTCACATTCCTGTATACCCAAAGCACAGAACACTGATGCGTTTTTGCACCAAAAATAAATCTAAACTCGGATCGGGTGAAAATAAAAGAAAGTAATATTCAGAAACGCACTGGAATGAACATTTAAGTTAAAAAATTTCAGATTTACAGTAGATCATAATCTCAGAACAACTAAACATGGCATGTACACATAAATTAACCAAATAATTAAGAAATCAACACCTTCAGAACCCTTCACAGCAAAACAATAATTCAAAATTTAAAAAAAAAAAATGGAAACAAATTTCGCTTTTCCGTACAGTCGAAATAAAAACGTGCAATATCACGGCCAAAAACATGCATTCAACGTAAACAGTACACGAACATTTTCATATCTCGAACCCAAAATTATTGGTGGTCTCACCGAGCCGACGCATAATAAGCAAATAAAAAAATTTAAAATAAGAAACACCATTTAACGGGTTACTGAAATTTAACAGAAATCGTACCAATTTTTGACGAAAAAATTTCTGAGAGACCGAACTGAAGAAATGTTTCAATTCTCAACAATGAAGTCTTTTTCTAGGGTTTTCGGCCATAGAGAAGATGAAAGATTGAGAGACGAAATGTCATCAGAGAGTTTTTGGTTGAAAAAAATAGAGAAGAACTGAGAAACTGAAAAAACAAATACTCATGCTCTTACGAATTTTGGCAAATTGTGCAGCACGTCCAAGTACGAAAGGCGACTCCTACGCGCACTCTAGCAGACGGATGTTTACGCACTCCACGTAGGAAAGAAGACTTTTCATTGAAGGCGTTTGTTGAAAGATAATAAATGCTTGTTTGGCAGGAATTATTTGGGGAATAATTGATTTTGAATAGTGATATGATGAGAAATGTGTGGTTGAAAAAAAAGAAAAAATTATTGATGTGATGAAAAAATATTATTT